ACATATGTACAGTTGTTTGAATGAGGGTCAGTTATTACCAATCTGACTTCTGCAAATTGAACTTCATGTATAAAAAGGGAAATACATTTCAGTGATTATAACTCATTCAGACTGTAGTGCAGGGGACAATGGCTATGTAACTTACAGAAACATATCTGAGTTTATTCTAGTTAGGAAGAATTTTTTTTTATTTCCTATAGTATAGGGGATCATTATCCTCTGCATTGCCTTTCTGAGTGAACACATTGGTGTTTACTTTATTAAATACCCTTATCCAGATTTTCATCTGCAATAATTCTGCATCATCATTCTCCACACATATAACAACTATTTATCTGCTTGATAATGTGTCTGTGATTCCAACCCGAAGATAAATTGCTGATTATGACAACAATAAATTATACTCTCTGTAGCGCTGCAGAGAGCTGGAAGCCAATATTGTGAGACTTGCTGATAAGGGTGATTGATCTCAATGATGATATTTAGGAAGTACAACGTTATTCCCCCATATACAATGCTGGGGAGAGTTGAGGGAGGTGGTGAGAGGCGGCGCTGCCTACACGCCAGATCTGCACCTGCTCCGTATAAGTAGCAGCGGAGCCCCTGTACAGCCCCTGTGAGAATGGTGCGATGGAGGCTGCCAGGCAGGAGGAGCAGTGCTCTCTGCAGCCTGACTCTGCCCGGGTGCCAGTAACTGCATGCACAGATGGACCACAGAGGTACTAGGTAAAGACATCACTGATCTATCACTCACTCTACTCACCCAGCAATATGTTTCATTACTCGCCATTTATCCTTCTTTATTTTCTCACTGTTTTCCAAATCTTCATTATGTGGTCCTGCTGCTTGTGCTCAGCTATGTGTACATCAAACCATAGTATAGTTTATCATAGAGCTGGGTGCAGTGAACCCGTCGTGGCTCTCTCTCTCTCCTCTTTTTATTTTTTCCCTTTCTTTCTTTCTTTCTTTCTTTCCCTCCACTTTTCCATTTTTTTTTAAATCTAACATCTTGTGTATGTTCTCTCTTCTACTTTATTTGCATATCCTCACCTCTACTTTTGTTTCTCTTTTCCTCTCCTCTACTTGCATTTCTTTATTTATATTTTTTCCTCTTTTCCTGCCTTCTCGTGTCCTCTCCTCTTCTATGTCCTCCTCTCCCATCCTTTCCTCTCTCTTCTTCTGTGTTCCCCTCTCCCATGCTTTCATCTCTCCTTTCTGTGTTCTCTCTGCCATCCTTTCCTCTCTCTTCTTCTACGTTCTCCTCTCCCATCCTTTCCTCTCTCTTCTTCTATGCTCTCCTCTCCCATCCCTTCCCCTCTCCTTTCTGTGTTCTCCTCTGCCATCCTTTCCTCTCTCTTCTTCTATGTTCTCCTCTCCCATCCTTTCCTCTCTCTTCTTCTATGTTCTCCTCTCCCACCCTTTCCTCTCTCTTCTTCTATGTTCTCCTCTCCCATACTTTCCTCTATCATCTTCTATGTTCTCCTCTTCCATCCTTTCCTCTATCATCTTCTATGTTCTCCTCTCCCATCCTTTCCACTCTCTTCTTCTATGTTCTCCTCTCCCATCCTTTCCTCTCTCATCTTCTGTGCTCCCCTCTCCCATCCTTTCCTCTATCCTCTTCTATGTTCTCCTCTCCCATCCTTTCCTCTCTCTTCTTCTGTGCTCTCCTCTCCCATCCTTTTCCTCTCTCCTCTTCTGTGCCCTCCTATCCCATCTTTTCCTCTCTACTCTTCTGTGCTCTCCTCTTCCATTCTTTCCTCTCTCCTCTTCTGTGCTCTCCTCTCCGAACCTTCCATCTCATCTCTTGTCCTCACATCTTCTGTTTTCACTTCATTTGTCCTCCCCTCTCCTCTCATGTCTTTTTCTCTTCTGTGCTCTTCTTATCATTCCCTCTCTTCACTTGTCTTCTCTTTGGTGATTTCCTATCCCCCTTTTCTCTTGTACTCCCCTCTCCCACCCTATCCTCTCATCTCCTGTGTTGTCCCCTTCTGTGCTCTCCTCTCCCATCCTAGCCTCTCCTTTCTTCACTTGTCCTTGCCTCTTCTGTCCTCTCCTCTCTTGTATCCCCCTCTGCTATCCTATCATCTCTTGTCTTTTTCTCTTCCGTGCTCTCCTCTCGCATCTTATCCTCTCCTCTCTTCATTTCTCATCTCCTCTTCGGTCCTTTCATATCCCTTTTTTTCTTGTCGTCTGCTCTCTCATCCTCTGATCTCTTGTCCTCCCCTCTCCCATCCTCTACTCTCCCCTTCTCTCACGTCCTCTCCTCTCTTCACTTGTACTCTCCCATCTCCTCCTCTCCTCTCTTCACTTGTCTTCTCCCATCATCTCCTCTCTTCGCTTGCCCTCTCCCATCCTGTCCTCTCTTCACTTGTCCTCTCCCATCCTCTCCTCTTTCACTTGTCCTCTTCCCTCCCATCCTCTCCTCTCTTCACATGTCCCCTCCCATCCTCTCCTCTCTTCACTTGTCTTCTCCCATCCTCCCCTCTTTTCTCCTCTCTTCACTTGTCCTCTCCCATCCTCTCCTCTCTTCACTTGTCCTCTCCCATCCTCTCCTCTCTACACTTGTCCTCTCCCCTTTTCTCATTCCTCTTCTCTCCCTGTGTTCAGAACACACCTGAGTTATCCCCTGTACAATGTTTCACTGGCATGCCTCCCCTCCTGTGACTGGCACTGTGTCCTTCCTCACATCCACCTATCTCTAATTCTTGCTGTTAAAATCCAATCTAAACAAACACCCAGAGACTCTTTTTTTCCTACATTAATTGTCCAGACAGTACTTGTGATCTAATAAAGCAATGCCATAGAAAGCCAACCCTGCTCTGTGCTATAATAACATTGGCAGTTGCCCCATATTTACATTGCTAGCACACAATGCTAAGAGACTGCAATGTGTGCCGAAAAGCCTGTGCGATGTGCGAGTGACTCGTCTATACTGACTGGGATCCTGTAACCTCTATGTATTAGCTTCGTGCTATACATTGAGAATAGATGTGTACAGTATACCTAAATGTCTATGCATGTGTCTCTGATTTTGCATTAATTTTTGTACACGTGTTTAAACATTTTAATTAAACATTTTACTAATTTTTGACATGAAAAACACTTCCAAAAAATACTAAATACCAGAAAACATTCATTTTACTTTAATATTTAATATTAATATTAACTTTATTTAACCTTACAATAATTATTTACACGTTCGTGGTACAGTTTAACACAGCCTGCTCCTCTGTGTATTGCCTCTTCTAATAGATTCACGATCCAGGTCACTTGTAGAAAATGTCAGTGCTATTTACACAAGCGAGCTCTTATAACTAATATCCAGCTCTTTGATACTCTCCATCGCTCCCATGCTCCTTTATACTCGTTTACACAATCGGTGGTAGTTTACATAAAAATGACAATTTACTGATTATCAACGGTTAGCCAAAAAATAAACAAAACACACACACACACAAATAAAATAAAAAAATGAAAATCCAGAGGAGTTTTTTTTATTATTATATATTTAAAAACCCCGCTAAGACAATCTGGAATTCCCTTCCCTGGAAAATAATGTGATATTATAAGACCAATGTTGACCTATTTGTGCAGTGAGATGTAAGCATCAGATTTCTAAAGGGGGGTTCTAGCTTGTCACGTCGTGTTAAACACACCACAAAAGCACACATTCCTCCAACCTCTCCCCCTGGCACTCATGCCAGTCCCCCATCAGCAAATGTAATTTACAAACGCGCAAGCACTAGCAAGAATCACCGTATTTGCGGACTCACCCTCACCTAAAGGACTGTAGACATTAACATGGAGATGAAATAGAAAAATAGAATTAGAATTGTTTTATTTAGAGACGGTGGTCTTGCTTTTAGAGAATAATTTAAACGAAAGAGAGAAAGAGAGAGAGAGAGAGAGAGAGAGAGAGAGATTGATTATATTACTGATAAAA